AATCAATCACAGTCAGAGAATCAATCACAGAGTCAGTCACAGGTCAGAGAGTCGGTCACAGAGTCCATCACAGATCATAGAATCAATCACAGAATCAATCACAGAATCAGAGAATCAATCACAGTCAGAGAATCAATCACAGAGTCAGTCACAGGTCAGAGAGTCGGTCACAGAGTCCATCACAGATCATAGAATCAATCACAGAATCAATCACAGAATCAGAGAATCAATCACAGTCAGAGAATCAATCACAGAGTCAGTCACAGGTCAGAGAGTCGGTCACAGAGTCCATCACAGATCATAGAATCAATCACAGAATCAATCACAGAATCAGAGAATCAATCACAGTCAGAGAATCAATCACAGAGTCAGTCACAGGTCAGAGAGTCGGTCACAGAGTCCATCACAGATCATAGAATCAATCACAGAATCAATCACAGAATCAGAGAATCAATCACAGTCAGAGAATCAATCACAGAGTCAGTCACAGGTCAGAGAGTCGGTCACAGAGTCCATCACAGATCATAGAATCAATCACAGAATCAATCACAGAATCAGAGAATCAATCACAGTCAGAGAATCAATCACAGAGTCAGTCACAGGTCAGAGAGTCGGTCACAGAGTCCATCACAGATCATAGAATCAATCACAGAATCAATCACAGAATCAGAGAATCAATCACAGTCAGAGAATCAATCACAGAGTCAGTCACAGGTCAGAGAGTCGGTCACAGAGTCCATCACAGATCATAGAATCAATCACAGAATCAATCACAGAATCAGAGAATCAATCACAGTCAGAGAATCAATCACAGAGTCAGAGAATCAATCACAGAGTCAATCACAGATCAGAGAATCAATCACAGATCACAGAATCAATCACAGAGTCAATCACAGATCAGAGAATCAATCACAGTCAGTCACAAGGCAGAGAATCAGTCAGAGAATCAATCACAGTCAGAGAATCAGTCACAGAGTCAGTCACAGGGCAGAGAGTCAGAGAGTCAGTCACAGATCACAGAATCAGTCACAGAGTCAGATAATCAATCACAGAGTCAGTCACAGATCAGAGAATCAGTCACAGAATCAATCACAGAATCACAGAATCAATCACAGAATCAGATACTCAATCACAGAATCAATCCCAGAACCAATCACAGAAACAGATAATCAATCACAGAATCAGATAATCAATCACACAATCACAGAATCAATCACACAATCACTGAATCAATCACACAGTCACAGAATCAGAGAGTCACACAATCATAGAATCACACAGTCACTCAGTCACAGAAACAATCACAGAATCACTCAGAATCACAGAATCAATCACACAATCACTGAATCAATCACACAATCACTGAATCAATCACACAATCACTGAATCAATCACAATCACACACAATCACAGAATCACACAATCACACAGAATCACACACAATCACAGAATCAACACACAATCACACACAATCACAGAATCACACAATCACAGAATCAGTCACACAATCACTGAATCAGTCACACAATCACACACTATCACAGAATCACACAAAGTCACGCACAATCACTGAATCAATCTCGCAATCACTCACAATCAAACACTCAATCACAGAACCACACACAATCAGAATCACTGAATCACAGAGTCACACAATCACAGAATTCACACAATCCCCAGGTCAGAATCACACAAAGTCACGCACAATCACTGAATCAATCTCGCAATCACTCACAATCAAACACTCAATCACAGAAATTCCAGAACTTTATCACCTTTCTGGAAAAACCTTTTTCCTGCTATCCAGCCTGAATTTCCCTTGGTGCAGCTCAAGGCTGTGTGCTCTGGTTCTGTCAGTGCCTGGAGAAGGAGCCCAGCCCCAGCTGAGCACAGCCACCTTTCAGGAGCTGTGCAGAGTGATGAGGGCACCCCCGAGTCTCCTTTTCTCTTCCCTCCTGCTTTGGCTGTGGTTTGGGGGTTTTTGGGGCTGTTTGCCCACAAAAAGGGTTGGGTTGTTCATTGGAAGATTTGTCCGGCCTTGGAAAGGAGGTTTGGAGTGCCCATCCCTGCAGGTGTCACCTGGACGTGGCACTGAGTGCCCTGGGCTGGGGACAGGGTTGGCATCGGGCACAGCTGGGCTGGATGGGCTGGGAGGGATTTTCCAGCCCAAATGGCTCTGGATTCTGGGAACAGGGAATGCTGCTGGGGCTGGATTCTCCAGAGCCCAGCCGTGCTCTTCCCTAAAGATCCTGCTGGGAATTCCGGGAACATTCCCAGAATCCCGGAATCCCTGAGGACTCGATGCTCTGGGAGGGATTTTCCAGCCCAAATGGCTCTGGATTCTGGGAACAGGGAATGCTGCTGGGGCTGGATTCTCCAGAGCCCAGCCGTGCTCTTCCCTAAAGATCTTGCTGGGAATTCCAGGAACATTCCCAGAATCCCAGAATCCCTGAGGACTCAATGCTCTGGGAGGGATTTTCCATCCCAAATGGCTCTGGATTCTGGGAACAGGGAATGCTGCTGGGGCTGGATTCTCCAGAGCCCAGCCGTGCTCTTCCCTAAAGATCCTGCTGGGAATTCCGGGAACATTCCCAGAATCCCGGAATCCCTGAGGACTCGATGCTCTGGGAGGGATTTTCCAGCCCAAATGGCTCTGGATTCTGGGAACAGGGAATGCTGCTGGGGTTGGATTCTCCAGAGCCCAGCTGTGCTCTTCCCTAAAGATCCTGCTGGGAATTCCGGGAACATTCCCGGAATCCCTGAGGCTGGGAAAGCTCTCCAAGGTCACCCAGTCCAGCTGTGCCCAGTCCCCACCATGTCCCCAGCCCAGTGCCACATCCAGGAGTTCCCTGGCCACATCCAGGAGTTGCCTGGCCACCTGCAGGGATGGGCACTCCAGGGATGGGCACTCCAAGGATGGGCACTCCAAGGATGGGCACTCCATGGATAGGCACTCCAAGGATGGGCACTCCATGGATAGGCACTCCAAGGATGGGCACTCCATGGATAGGCACTCCAAGGATGGGCACTCCATGGATAGGCACTCCAAGGATGGGCACTCCATGGATAGGCACTCCAAGGATGGGCACTCCATGGATAGGCACTCCAAGGATGGGCACTCCATGGATAGGCACTCCAAGGATGGGCACTCCATGGATAGGCACTCCAAGGATGGGCACTCCATGGATAGGCACTCCAAGGATGGGCACTCCATGGATAGGCACTCCAAGGATGGGCACTCCATGGATAGGCACTCCAAGGATGGGCACTCCATGGATAGGCACTCCAAGGATGGGCACTCCATGGATAGGCACTCCAAGGATGGGCACTCCATGGATAGGCACTCCAAGGATGGGCACTCCATGGATAGGCACTCCAAGGATGGGCACTCCATGGATAGGCACTCCAAGGATGGGCACTCCATGGATAGGCACTCCAAGGATGGGCACTCCATGGATAGGCACTCCAAGGATGGGCACTCCATGGATAGGCACTCCAAGGATGGGCACTCCATGGATAGGCACTCCAAGGATGGGCACTCCATGGATAGGCACTCCAAGGATGGGCACTCCATGGATAGGCACTCCAAGGATGGGCACTCCATGGATAGGCACTCCAAGGATGGGCACTCCATGGATAGGCACTCCAAGGATGGGCACTCCATGGATAGGCACTCCAAGGATGGGCACTCCATGGATAGGCACTCCAAGGATGGGCACTCCATGGATAGGCACTCCAAGGATGGGCACTCCATGGATAGGCACTCCAAGGATGGGCACTCCATGGATAGGCACTCCAAGGATGGGCACTCCATGGATAGGCACTCCAAGGATGGGCACTCCATGGATAGGCACTCCAAGGATGGGCACTCCATGGATAGGCACTCCAAGGATGGGCACTCCATGGATAGGCACTCCAAGGATGGGCACTCCATGGATAGGCACTCCAAGGATGGGCACTCCATGGATAGGCACTCCAAGGATGGGCACTCCATGGATAGGCACTCCAAGGATGGGCACTCCATGGATAGGCACTCCAAGGATGGGCACTCCATGGATAGGCACTCCAAGGATGGGCACTCCATGGATAGGCACTCCAAGGATGGGCACTCCATGGATAGGCACTCCAAGGATGGGCACTCCATGGATAGGCACTCCAAGGATGGGCACTCCATGGATAGGCACTCCAAGGATGGGCACTCCATGGATAGGCACTCCAAGGATGGGCACTCCATGGATAGGCACTCCAAGGATGGGCACTCCATGGATAGGCACTCCAAGGATGGGCACTCCATGGATAGGCACTCCAAGGATGGGCACTCCATGGATAGGCACTCCAAGGATGGGCACTCCATGGATAGGCACTCCAAGGATGGGCACTCCATGGATAGGCACTCCAAGGATGGGCACTCCATGGATAGGCACTCCAAGGATGGGCACTCCATGGATAGGCACTCCAAGGATGGGCACTCCATGGATAGGCACTCCAAGGATGGGCACTCCATGGATAGGCACTCCAAGGATGGGCACTCCATGGATAGGCACTCCAAGGATGGGCACTCCATGGATAGGCACTCCAAGGATGGGCACTCCATGGATAGGCACTCCAAGGATGGGCACTCCATGGATAGGCACTCCAAGGATGGGCACTCCATGGATAGGCACTCCAAGGATGGGCACTCCATGGATAGGCACTCCAAGGATGGGCACTCCATGGATAGGCACTCCAAGGATGGGCACTCCATGGATAGGCACTCCAAGGATGGGCACTCCATGGATAGGCACTCCAAGGATGGGCACTCCATGGATAGGCACTCCAAGGATGGGCACTCCATGGATAGGCACTCCAAGGATGGGCACTCCATGGATAGGCACTCCAAGGATGGGCACTCCATGGATAGGCACTCCAAGGATGGGCACTCCATGGATAGGCACTCCAAGGATGGGCACTCCATGGATAGGCACTCCAAGGATGGGCACTCCATGGATAGGCACTCCAAGGATGGGCACTCCATGGATGGGCACTCCCAGCCCCCCAGGGCAGTGCCCGGCTGTCCCCAGTGTCCCCTCCCGGAGCTGGGGCCCCAGCAGCGTCCTGCCCCCGCGCCTGCAGCCCCCATTCCCGCAGCCCTGACGGTGTTTCTGTGTTCTCTGCTCTCCCTGCCCGCCAGGTGCCAGCCCAGCAGCAGCCCCGAGCCCTGCCCGGAGGAGCACGCCCTGATTGCCACCTTTGCCAGCCGCCTGCGGAGCGGGGCACGGTCAGTGCCAGCCCGGGGACACGGGGGACCTGCGGGTGGCCCTGGGTGGCACCCAGCCTGGCACAGGGAGCCCCTCTCTCACAGACCCTCTCTGATCACAGATGGGGTTGTTCCTTCACCTCTCCCCAAATTCCCCTGCTGGAATCTCATCTCAAACCTAATTTTCCCCAAAATTTCCCCCTGCTGGAATGTCTCACCCCAAATGCCCCCTGCTAGAATCTCACATCAAATTCCCCCTGCTGGAATCTCATCCGAATTTCCCCCTGCTAGAATCTCACATCAAATTCCCCCTGCTGGAATCTATCTCCCCAAATTCCCCTGCTGGAATCTCATCTCAAACCTAATTTTCCCCAAAATTTCCCCCTGCTGGAATGTCTCACCCCAAATGCCCCCTGCTAGAATCTCACATCAAATTCCCCCTGCTGGAATCTCATCCGAATTTCCCCCTGCTAGAATCTCACATCAAATTCCCCCTGCTGGAATCTCATCCGAATTTCCCCCTGCCAGAATCTCACCCCAGATTTCCCCCTGCTGGAATCTCTCCCCAAATTCCCCTGCTGGAATCTCTCACCCCAAATTCCTCTGCTGGAATCTCACATCAAATTTCCCCTGCTGGAATATCTCACCCCAAATTCCCCTGCTGGAATCTCTCACCCCAAATTCCCCCTGCTGGAATCTCCCCCCAAATTTCCCCTGCTGGAATCTCATCTTTTTCCCCAAATTTCTCCCTGCTGGAATCTCATCTTTTTCCCCAGATTTCTCCCTGCTGGAATCTCATCTTTTTCCCCAAATTTCCCCCGGAGTTTTGCCCAGCCCAGCTCTGTCCTGGAGCTCATCCCTGCCCTTCCTCCTCCTCCTCCTCCTCCTGCCCATCCTGGCTCTGCCCTGCAGCAGCTCTGGCAGCCCCTCCACCCTCACCTGCTCCTGCAGCCTCAGCTCTGAACATTCACAGAATCACAGAATGCAGAACATTTACAGAGTGCCAGAATACAGAATATTTACAGAATATAGAATACAGAACATTTACAGAATCCCAGAATATGGAACATTTAGAGAATGCCAGAATATAAAATACAGAATATTTACAGAATGCCAGAATACAGAATATTTACAGAATATAGAGCAGAACATTTACAGAATGCCAGAATATATCATACAGAACATTTACAGAATCCAACAATACAGAATATTTACAGTATCCCAGAATCTAGAACACAGAATATTTACAGAATGCCAGAATACAGAATATTTACAGTATCCCAAAATATAAAATATTTACAGATTACAGAATACAGGACATTTACAGAATGCCAGAATACAGAATATTTACAGAATCCAACAATACAGAATATTTACAGTATCCCAGAATCTAGAACACAGAATATTTACAGAATCCCAGAATACAGAATATTTACAGAATACAGAATATTTACAGAATATATCATACAGAACATTTACAGAATCCCAGAATACAGAATATTTACAGAATACAGAATACAGAACATTTACAGAATCCCAGAATATATAATATTTACAGAAAGCCAGAATATAGAATACAGAACATTTACAGAATGCCAGAATACAGAACATTTACAGAATGCCAGAATACAGAATATTTACAGAATCCCAGAATAGAGAATATTTACAGAATGCCAGAATATAGAACAAAGAATCTTTACAGAATATAGAATAGAGAACATTTACAGAATCCCAGAATATCTCACACAGACCATTTAAAGAATACCAGAATACAGAAAATTTACAGGATCCCAGAATATAGAATAGAGAATATTTCCAGACTCCCAGAATATAGAACATTTGTAGAATCCCACAATATCTCACACAGAACATTTCCAGAATCTCTGCCTGTCCCAAACCCCATTCCTGATTGGAACAATCCATTCCCATAATCTGGAGCTGCTCCTTGTGCGGGATTTCTGTTCCTGGCTGTGTCTGTGACTGGGATTTCTGTTCCTGGCTGTGTCTGTGACTGGGATTTCTGTTCCTGGCTGTGTCTGTGACTGGGATTTCTGTTCCTGGCTGTGTCTGTGACTGGGATTTCTGTTCCTGGCTGTGTCTGTGACTGGGATTTCTGTTCCTGGCTGTGTCTGTGACTGGGATTTCTGTTCCTGGCTGTGTCTGTGACTGGGATTTCTGTTCCTGGCTGTGTCTGTGACTGGGATTTCTGTTCCTGGCTGTGTCTGTGACTGGGATTTCTGTTCCTGGCTGTGTCTGTGACTGGGATTTCTGTTCCTGGCTGTGTCTGTGACTGGGATTTCTGTTCCTGGCTGTGTCTGTGCAGGATTTCTGTCCCTGCTGGTTCTTTCAGACACAAATTCCCATTTTTCCTTCCCCAGGGCCCCCGGGGTCTCTCCTCCCCCTGCAGAACCCAGATCCTTCCCCCATGTCCCCTGGGCAGTGCCACGCTCCCTTGCCTCTGTCCCTGAGCCCTGGGGACACTTAGGGGGTCCCTCGGGTGCTGCCTGTCCCAAACCCGGGGTCCCTGCCCTGGCAGGGGTGCCCGGGGTGGGGGAGCCCAGCCTGGCACTGAGCCTGCCCCCCTGTCACCACCCCAGGTGTCCCAGTGCCACCCCAGGGCTGTGAGTGCCACCCCAGGGTCCCATTGCCACCCCAGGGCTGTGAGTGCCACCCCAGGGCTCCCAGTGCCACCCAGAGCTCCCAATGCCACCCAGGGCTGTGAGTGCCACCCTAGGGCTCCCAGTGCCACCCCAGGGTCTCAGTGCCACCCCAGGGCTCTGAGTGCCACCCCAGGTGTCCCAATGCCACCCAGGGCTGTGAGTGCCACCCAGGGCTCCCAGTGCCACCCCAGGGCTCTGAGTGCCACCCCAGGGCTCTGAGTGCCACCCCAGGTGTCCCAGTGTCACCCAGAGCTCCCAGTGCCACCCCAGGGCTGTGAGTGCCACCCCAGGGTCCCTGTGCCACCAGGGCTGTGAGTGCCACCTGAAGTGTTCCAGTGCCACCCAGGGTCCCAGTGTCACCCCAGGGCTGTGAGTGCCACCCCAGGTGCCCCTGGCACACCCCAGGGCTCCCTCTGCCCTGGAGCAGTGTCGTGGTTTTGCTTTGTTGATTTCAGATTTTTTTATATTTAAATTTTTTCAATTTAATTTTAAGATTTTTTTTTTTAAATTTCAATTTTTTCAATTTAATTTTAAGATTTTTTTTTTAATTTCATTTTTTTCCAATTTAATGTTAAGATTTTTTTATTTAATTTTTTTAAATTTAATTTTAGGATTTTTTAAATTTAATTTTTTAAAATTTAATTTTAAGACTTTTTTAAATTTCAATTTTTTCAATTTAATTTTAAGATTTTTTTAAATTTCAATTTTTTCAATTTAATTTTAAGATTTTTTTAAATTTCAATTTTTTCAATTTAATTTTAAGATTTTTTTAAATTTAAATTTTTTCAATTTAAAGATTTTTTAAATTTCAATTTTTTACAATTTAATTTTAAGATTTTTTGGTTCATGCACCAAAGAGTGTGGCAGGAGTTGTTGGTTCATTACTGATGTCTTCAGTTTTTAGGAGAAAGGTAAAGCAGGATTAAAACTTTTAAAAATATATTTTATTTTAAGAAAGGAATTTTATTAAACGATACTAAAAAATAGCAAGAATTAAACCAAATAATTTAGAACACTTTTCCTCTTTATAACTTTTTACTGACAATGCAAAGCTTTACATTTTTAATTAGTTCACTATTTTCAAAATAGGGTTTTGAGTTTATTTAGGGAGAGGAGGATTTTTTTCTTAAGGCTATGGAGATTAATTTTTTTAATTTTTGGAAAATTTTATTTTTGGAAAATAATTTTTTTGTAATTTTTTTTTTTTTGGGGAACTTTGTTCCTGTGAAGTGTTTTTATTGTTGTAGTGGGGAAGGGACTTGAAACAGAGCCAGTGCCAGTGGGGTTTCTGTAGGATTTCTATGGGATTTCTGTGGGGTTTTTGTGGGGTTTCTGTGGGATTTCTGTGGGGTTTTTGTGGGATGATTTTTGTGGGGTTTCTGTGGGGTTTCTGTAGGATTTCTGTAGGATTTCTATGGGATTTCTCTGGGATTTCTCTGGGATTTCTGTGGGGGTTTTGTGGGATGATTTTTGTGGGGTTTCTGTAGGATTTCTATGGGATTTCTCTGGGATTTCTCTGGGATTTCTGTGGGGGTTTTTGTGGGATGATTTTTGTGGGGTTTCTGTGGGGTTTTTGTAGGATTTCTCTGGGGTTTCCATGGATTTCTGTGGGATTTCTGTGGGGGTTTTGTAGGGTTTTTGTAGTATTTCTGTGGGGTTTCTGTGGGGTTTCTGCAGGATTTCTGTAGGATTTCTCTGGGATTTCTGTGGGATTTCTGTGGGGGTTTTGTGGGATGATTTTTGTGGCGTTTCTCTGGGGTTTTTGTAAGATTTCTCTGGGGTTTCCAGGGATTTCTGTGGGGGTTTTGTAGGGTTTTTGTAGTATTTCTGTAGGGTTTCTGTGGGGTTTCTGTAGGATTTCTATGAGATTTCTGTGGGGTTTCTGCAGTATTTCTGTAGGATTTCTATGGGGTTTCTGTGGGGTTTCTGCGAGGTTTCTGTGGGATTTCTGTGGGGGTTTTGTGGGATGATTTTTGTGGCGTTTCTCTGGGGTTTTTGTAAGATTTCTCTGGGGTTTCCAGGGATTTCTGTGGGGGTTTTGTAGGGTTTTTGTAGTATTTCTGTAGGATTTCTATGAGATTTCTGTGGGGTTTCTGCAGTATTTCTGTAGGATTTCTATGGGGTTTCTGTGGGGTTTCTGCGAGGTTTCTCTGGGATTTCTATGGGATTTCTGTGGCGGTTTTGTGGGATGATTTTTGTGGGGTTTCTGTAAGATTTCTCTGGGATTTCCATGAATTTCTGTAGGATTTCTGTGGGGGTTTTGTAGGGTTTTTGTAGTATTTCTGTAGGGTTTCTGTGGGGTTTCTGTAGGATTTCTATGAGATTTCTGTGGGGTTTCTGCAGTATTTCTGTAGGATTTCT